TCACATAAAATCTAAGAGGCATGTTTTGAAGAAACATGACAAGCTAAGTACAAAATACCTTTTGCTTCAATCGTTAGCATTTGGCAAGGAATGGCCATCTGTGAAATCGAACAGAAACTGTCCTGATGCCACTAGAAGCAGGGAAACCATTGTGACACTCTTTTTCGCCATCCAGCAATCATTCCCATATGTACTTTACCAGTGGAAAATAAACAGGATTCATGCTATTGGAACACAGTCAATTAAGAACAATGCCGATTGCCTTCTGCAGATATTCCCATGGTGCCAAACTGTATGTGAAGAGATGGCAGGGTGGAGGAGAAAAAGGAAGAAGAAGAGGAGTGAAGGTGTGATAATTAAAAGAATTGCCACTCGGTAAGTCAGGGGAGCTAATGTGTCAACTCAGCAAGCTGGGGAAGTAGAATGTGCCCAGCTGCTGTAAAGACTCAAGTGTGGTTTGCTCCCTGGCACCACTTGTTGGGACAAGATGAATCACAAATGCTGTGAATGTGAGTTTCCATGCTACCCTGTGCCAGATGGAGGTGGTTACTTCTCTGATTGATAGTGTCTTGGGCTGCAAAAGGGACTTTGCAGCCAGTGAATGCTGTTGTACTGGCAGAGCCGCTTCAGGGATCAGCCATTCCTCTTTTGGTCAATGCTGCCTTGGAAAAAGACCTGAGCAGAACTGGAGGAAGAGGGGAGGAAAGAGAATTCTAAAGCAGAGAACTGGAGAGAGAAATGATTCCATTCCTACTGCAATTAGGTTTTTTGCTGATGAAACTCCAGCCATAGGCTATATGGACGTGACTAATAACACCAGGACCATTTTGCTTATATTCATGCATTTTGTACAAAGGCTGACTGAATATAGGAAGCATGTATTTGTGTGTAAATCATCTTGATTCCCAAACCCTGAACCCAAAGCACTTTCAACATGGGCATGGGTGAAGATTGCCCCAATCTTCATTGCACTCTCTCGTCTTCAGTCCCTTTGCTGCATTGCCCACCAGCCAGGATCTTCAAATGAATGCTTTATCAAATATAAATTGCCAATAAAGTAGCTACAGCCTCCTGCTGGGAGCTAACTGCCCGTCAGACATTTGCTGGGTCCTTCTAATACAGGACACTGAGCAAAGCTTCATTACAGAACAATGGTGGTTGCTGCCAGAGCTTACAGATTTGAATAAACAACAAATAAGCAACATCTGCTCCAGCATATGTGTATGGTGGGAAAAAAAGTCACAAAATAAAAGAATTTGCAAATGCCAAAAGCAAGACTAAACTGCCAGTGCTACTGTAGAGTGAATTTTTAATTGCACATGCATACAAGGCAGGCTGGGGGTATTAGTCTCACATATGTCTGCTTGCTGCCAACCTGGGAGTATAGATGAATTTAATTAAATAAGGATTATCCCTTCTCCCCAGTACAATTACTTATTTATAACAATGATAGAATTGCCTAATAAAAAAATTGTAATATTTTCTTTTAAAAACACATATATACACACCATTGCTCAAAAACAGTCTGGCATTCATTTAGGAATGCTTGCAGTTTGAGTGTCTTTTAGAATTAATTCTCTCATTTTGCTAAATGGAAAGAAAAACAAAAAACAAAAGAGCAATCACAAAGCTTAGTGCACACATGCGTACATACACACATGCATGCATGTGGGTGTACATGTAGTGAACACACACACTGAATTTGGATAAAAATAAAGACCTGGCCATAGAATCCAGGAACACCATCAAAAGGATTTTCAAAGAATACAATTGTTGATTCAAGTCTAGCTTATACATCCAAACAACTGGTCATTTTAGTATAGGCTCAGATGCTCTTGGATTTTTTGACCCTGTTTATTTATTTGTCTATTATCCAGCTGTAATGCTATCCGAGGGATGGGGATCTTGCAGATCTCCAGTTCCCAGCTGTCTCATGATCAATAACAGGATCTCCTTTAAAGGGAAAATTTTGTCTGTTAAATTACTTCCAGCCATCTCAAAGGTCCAGAAATTCAGTCAAATAAAATTTGATCCATCCATCCAATACTGATGTTACCATATCTTTTAATCAATTATATGATCACCAAATTTTAGGCTCTGGGAAGGTAACATTGTGTTAAAACAAATTAAAAATCAAAACAAAAAGAATACACCTGCGGTCAACCACAATCATTTCTTTATTCTATCACAGAATAGGCTCATCTAACATCCTGGCTCAATGTCCCTGTATCTTAGGGGCATGCTGTTCCACATGGCAGAGGCTGCAACAGAGTAGACATGCCTCCTGGGTCCCATCAAAATGCAACGTTTCATAGAGTGGAGCATAACATGCTAACCCTGTTGGATCTTCTAGAATGGGCACAAATAATTGGGGATAGACAGTCCTGTAAATAACCCAGCCCTCTGACATGAAAGAGTTTATAAGTGATAACCAGCACGTTGAATTACACATGGAAGCCTACTGGGAAGCAGTGCAGCTCTCAAAGTAGTGGTGTTACGTGGCTGACCCATTCTGGACCAGTTGTAACTTCTGGATAGTCTTAAAAGGCAGCCCCATGTAAAGCATGTTGCAATAATTGAAACAAGAAGTGACCAAGGTAAGAGGATCCCCAAATGATACACAAGTTTGTCTGGGAGAGTGCTACTCCATCAAGAACTAAAGGTGGAAAGTTCCCAGATCCTGGGGCCTTAAAATGCATAGCAGCTTAACCTTGCTATAGTTAAATTAAAGCTTGCTCTTCCCCATCCAGTCCTCTACAGCCTCCAGTCACTGGTAAAGAATCTTGATGGCATCACTTTGTAATCCAGGCTAGAGACATATAACAGCATCATCAGCATACTAAGTTACTTGACCTCATGCCAACATATGATATCATTCAGAGATTTCATATAGATGTTAAATAGGAGCTGAGACAGTATAGAGCACAAGGAACCCTGCAGAGCAAATATCTAGGGCTAAATCTCTCCTTTCCTACCAGCACTGACTGGAAACATTCCCAGAGGAAGGAGGGGAACCATCACAACACCATGGCCCACATTCCCACAACCTGAGGCTGATTCACAAGTATACCATGATACATCAAGGAGGGCCAGGATGGATACAGCTCTGCATCTTGATCCCACCAGGTATCATCAACAGATGTAATCAATGCTATCTCAGTACATCCTGGTCTGAAACCTGACTGAAAACAGTCCAGATAATCCATTTCTTCCAGGGTCCTCTGAAGCTGCAAATCAACCACCTTTTCAACAGCCTTCTCTGAAAAGGGAAGTTTGGAGACAGGATGAAAATTGTCCAGCATCCAGTGATGGTTTTTTGAGGAGAGGATGAACTACGGCCTCTTTAGAGCAAGTGGAACTGCCCCTTCCTTCAAGAATACATTCACCACCACTTGGATCCGACTATACATTGGGGGCCTTGAAAACCCAGGAGGGACATAGATCTAATACAAAGGTGGCCCCACTGGCAGTCCCAGGAACCCTATCCACTTCATCAAGACCGATAGGCTAGAATTCTTCCCAGGTAACTGAGCCACACTATGCCTTGTTCAGGTCCATAAGACCTGAACCACTGGAGTCTAACTCAGAGTGGATCCAAATGACTTTATTCAACAAATACCTTGAATATTCTTCACAGGAATCCTACATATGTTCCTCTAGCCCCCCACCCACACACCCAGGAGAGACTGGGTCACCTTGAACAGGGCTGCTGGCTTGTTATCTATATACATAATGCATAGTCTATGAATAGTCTTGTGACTAGAATACCTAATAATACAAACAAAAATACAAATCCCGTGTGCTTACCTGCTGAATCAGTTAGGATCAGAACTGACTCACAACCAAAATCATAATCAAACAACCATTTTCTCATTTTCTTTGCTAAAGCATAATGTCCTGATTGTACTTGGCTACAATTTGATCATAGTCAGAGTTAGTTTAGAATAATTAGTATTACATTTGATGAATAAATGTCAGTTTGTACAGTCCACAAAGGTGTGATACAGCCACCACCTTAGTGCAAATAATATCTTCTTTCCCAAACCTTCCACAACAAATTATAGTTAAGTAAAGCCTATAATCCATCCGTACTTTATCACTGTATGCAGATTATTGCTATGCTCAACAGTAGGATGATATGTCTTTTCTTATGTGATGATATATTATGCAGTCATTTTGAAACCAGTAGAGTATAGCAGTTTCTACCTCATCCCCTAGCTTTTTATCCATGCTGGTATCTACCAAATATTTTTGGACATATCAATCATATTTCCCAGAATTTGTTGTTCAATACATTTGGAATGCACCAGCTTGAAAAAAGCTGAAAGGTATCTAACATAGGCCCCAATTTCATCATACGTTTCCACACTGTCTTTGGATCCACTTGAAACTAATGTAGCACACAGCAAGAACAGATCTCAGTGATTATCAGTATAGCAAAGAAATCACTTTGCTGGCATATTGCAGAGGTTAATGATATAGATTGTAAGCATTGTTACAATAAATACCTGTGCAAATCCCAACCATGGAATCTCAAGCTTCTGCCACCCTGTCCAGAAAGTCAAGATTACTCAAATGTAGTATTCTAGGCAAACAAGTATGAAAAACTGCAGCTTATTGAAAGTGATTCCATCAAGAAGAAAAAATAAGCAAGTTCAGTCAGATTCTTGCTTCTCCAAGGCAAAGAAAATGATGTGCAAGAAAGAGAAATTTGACTCTTGCATGGTTTCAGTCTTGTAACACCTCATGGGATTTCCTCAAACAGATTCTCTCCAGATCCTCTTCTGAATTTTGATTCAAGTTCTTGCCCATTCCATCTAATATCTAGCAAGAATAAAGCCTCCCATCATAATAGTACTGATATATAGATGGAATAGATATTTAGCTGAGTGATCAATTCGTGGATCTGGTATTTATATTACCAAGGCTCTACTTTAAGACAAACCTGCAATAGGAGGAAGGGGAAGAAAGAAAGAGAGTTTAAATTTGCTAATACCTACCTGAAGTGTTTTCAAGGGGATTTCCCCAGAAAGTTTCATCTTCAAAGCTCTGGATCTGAGACAAGAAAAAAGAATTCCTTAAAGCAGCTTGTTTTTTATTATTAAAAGTATATTTCTTCTCTTTAACATTAGGATTTTAAGTCAAAGCAACAATAAACCTTCCAGATGTTTCTCTGTTGTTGGTGCCTCTTTTTAAAAATAATTTTGCATTCCAGATTTCAGGTTGTAAGTTAGTATTCATAGCATGTTTTCTTTCCAAACACAACTCCCTACTGCTGGTCAAACCACAATGATGCCAAATGGAAATAATCCCCTGTGTACTGACAGAAATGGAGCCAGGCAGGGCTACTGAGAAGTAAGAGGTAAAGGCATGTCTAGGGAACTTTTGCAGAGGCATTTGCAGAGGTATTTGAAAAAAATCCCTAAAAAAAAAAAAAAAAAGGAGGAAGCCTTCTTCTCTCAAAAACAACCATAACAAATACAACAGCCAATGATATAAATGGGAACGATGAATATTATTGCAAAAAAATGGTTGCAAGGGGAGGATGCCCTGGTTCACCCTGTTTGGACAGAATTGGTACTGCAGTGTTATGCTACAAATTCTCCTTAATACTATGTATGTAGTGATAATTTTTAAAATGTCACTACCACAGTAATCCAAGCATTAGGGCTCAGCAGACTGAACATATCCAGATAGTCATAGTGCTGGAAAATCTAGCTCCCCCATCCCCATCCCCTGTTTTTTCATTGGGGCTTGAAATAAATCTTGATTCTCCAGTCTTTGTTCAATACACTTTTTTTGTTCAACCACATTCATCTTTTTGTTCACTTGGTTTTTGGAGATCTAGAAAGTCAATAAAATGGGGGATATTTTTGAGCCCACCATGGGCTTTCATTGCAGCCATTCTGGTGATCACAGCTTTGAAGTATGTAGGTATGTAGAAGAAAAAGTGTCAGCAGCTGTAGTAGCAAAGTTAAGAAAGCAGTTTTTAATGCTTGATATTTCTGCATTAATTCAGACATTCTTCAGGAATATCTGATGGGGGGCAGTCCAAAAGGTCAAGATGGTGGCTACAAACACACAAATTCCACTGCTTTTTTACATGCATCACATGTAATACATGTAAAAAGAGGTGGGGCTTCAACTGCAGAGTCACAGCCATCCACTTGACTTTTTTGACCACCTGTCCCTGAAGATGCCCCTGAATTTATACAAAGCAATTCAGTGTTCAGGCCATAGCAAAGTGCTCAAAAAGTGGCACTGAGTACCACACCTATCCCCAATGACTTTTCTATTTTCATTTGGAGTACAAACTGGATCTATCCTAGAATCTACTCTATACATGAACAGAGTGGAGATATTTTCCAAATTAAGCATCTCTAAAAAGAAATGAGCTGTAAGAGTTTGTTTTGCAGAGAATATGAAAGGTTTGGAATAAAGTGTTACACACCACCTTTTATACTCCCTTCTAGGGAATAGTTGAGAAGCAAGACTGAGATGTAACCATACTCATTTGGAAATCAATTTACTTTAGCTTTTATTCTGTATCCTAACCATCATAGGCCATACCACTATTTCCTATCTACAGAATGCCAACATATAAGATTTGGTCTTACCTCTTCCATTTCAAAGGAATCTGAAGGCTTGCAAGTGAAGCCGGATAACCTCCTGAGTGTATGGGTTAAAAGCAAATTGGGCTCCTTGCGTGGTCTTTCTTTACTGAGAATCTCAGAATTAGAAGGTAGGTGGGGCTGGTTTAAAGATAGATGAGGCAACCCCCAAGTTTTAGTAGCTATGAATTGTGGAGATTGAGATATAATCATACCCTCCTCCTCTTCCTCATTTGGGAACAGTTCTTTTAGAGAGATCAAGGCAGCATTGTCAGATAATCCTGTTCTAGTCACCAAATGTAGGTCAGCAGCAGCAAAGTGGTCTTCCGGGGTCTTACATATACCAGCATTTTGATAAGCTTGAGATCCATGTGTTTGCCTAGATATTTTTCTCAGGAGCTGACCTATTCTTCTCTTCTTGGCCTGTGGCTTGCCTTTTAGAATATCAGTTCTGGCCTTCTCTTCTCTCTTTCCTTTTTCCACCTTCTGCTGCATGGTGCTCACATTACTCAACAAAGAGGAAAAAGCGCTAGTCACATGATCCAATATTTCCAGTTGTCGAAAGCGCCCTTAAATTTAAGAGAGATTAAACAAACCTTGTGCAATTATTTATTTTAGTTATGGCAAAAGTTTCAAGGCTTTTAATACACAAAGGAGATTTGAAAAAAAATGTGTTTAAATTATATCCTCATCCCAGAGTGGAATCAGTGGGACTAAGCATGATTAGGCAGATTGGGACCCTTGGGGCCAATTTTTTTAATGAGTAATTGGAAAATTTATGAATATTCTATGCCTCATGCCTGCTCAGCCAAATACAATCCAACATTTTTCAATATCACATAGATGAAATGGAAAAGATTTTTAATTTGGTATCACTTCCATGTATACATGCCATAATTCAGTTTAGTGGACTTATACCAATATAAATATCTGTTGTCTTTGTCGTTCATACTGACAAGCTACATATTCTATGGTGTGGTTGTGTGTTGCTGCTTCGTTTAAGGGAATATCTGGGGAGGATGTAGCAGAAATTGATGAAATTCTTGACTGCTGCTCTTCATTAAAAGCTGCCAAACACATTCCTTATGCTATTATTCCTCCTTCACAAAGAAGCAAATACGCAAGGATATATTCCAAGGGCACTTATTAAATAACGCTCCATCCCAGATTTCCATCCAGATGTTGACACTCCAAAATATTTGATCTTGTTTATGGAGCAGTATAAATAACTGATATTTTACTCAATCAGCACATGAGCATGGACATGAATTCTCTTCATGTTGTACAGAATTCAGAACAAGGAGCTAGATGATCAAAGGACAACTGATTAAGCTTGTTCCCAACAGTCATTTGCTCAATGAACTTTTTTTCTTTAATTTTATATAAGACAGCATTAATGGCATCTGCATTGGTCGAAATTGTGCTACCCTTCAAATTTCAACAAAATTGGTTTTTCTTCAGTAAATTAGTAACAGCTAATATGGATAATAACTTGGATTCTCCATCTTAAATGTTTGTGAATGGGTCATGGTGATTCCGTAATAAATTCATATCTGGAAACAGCCCATCAATTATTTACTCACCATATAAATTGGGGGCTTCAACATTCATGCGTTGTCTTTGAGCTTCAATGAACACTCTGATATTGATTCCTTTAGCCATGGATGCACAACTGATGAACCGAGAAGGAATTTTAGTGCAGATGTCAGGTTCCTCAACACCAAATCCCAAATCAAGCAAAATCTCAACTGGGTCTTTTTCTGAGAAATCCAGCCATTCAGTGACACTGTAAGAAAAACATCAATAGAAATTATTCTGCTTGACTGATCTTTTCAGTAAATATTATGTCTCATACAAATATACACATACAAAGATAACTTACATGCATGCTTCAAAAATGATTCATCATTCATCTGCTACTAATTAACATAGCCACATCCTTTTTCCAGGCTTCTGTGTTAGATAAATAAATGCCACTGTTTTAAGGAGCTGACTTGAGTGAATCCTAGAAAAGGATATGGCTGCTTTAATGAACAGGAAAGAGGTCCTGTGCTTACACTTGGGCAAGGTTCAAAGCACTTGTTTAAAATAATTTTCAAAGGATAGATTGGTAGGTCGGTAGATAGATAGATAGATAGATAGATAGATAGATAGATAGATAGATAGATAGCTTCCAGATCACAGTTATATTTTACAGCTAGATAAGTACGCAATGGCCTTTGAGAATTTAGAAGATACAACATTGAGTTGACACTAAGAAAAATCTGTACTTTTTCAGAAAAACACAGATGAAATTAGAGGACATGGACTTGTATCTTTCCTCACTTATAGACTCTGGTTATATAATGATGCAAAGGTCTGTTTTAAACATGCCAATGATTTCCAACTCTCTTCCATACCAGAAAAATATTTGAAAATATTTTGTGGATCCATTATTTGCTATAAGCTTGTTTATACCTGTGTCAACAGATGGCTGCATCTGGGTCAGTTTGTATGAGCTTGATAACCAAGCACTGGGTTGGGGCTTGTTAGTATTTGGATAGAAGGCTGCCATTGCTTGGTTGAAAATTCAGAATTATAGGTTAGCTTCGAATTTTAAAAGAAACATCCTGGAAGAAGATAATGACAAATTACTTCTATTTTTTTTTTTTCAAGAAAGCTGTATTGATGGGCCCATGTAGTCATCAGGAACTGAGCATGACCCAAGAATATCTTTACCTTTACTTTATGGGTTTGGTTATAAACCAAACAAAACAGCTTCTAAGCACGCATAAAAGATGATAAGCCCTAATTGAAGGGAAATGAGAAAACACCAAGTGATTTCATACCATATGCTCTTGAGATCTCTTTCATGTAACTGAATCAGATTTCTGGACTGCTGATTAGGGAAACTTGTTTATTTAATTGTGAGTGATGGTTTGAACTCTTAGAATTGGGATTGAGCTCAGAAAATATTTCCCCAAAATTGCAGAGTAATGATGATGTAAATCTTGTTTTAAGGTTAATTTATAGACATCACAATCTGCTGCCTTTGAAATCATGCCACTGGGACTATAACAGGGCCTGATTCTTCTGGATTAGATTCCTCTAATCTAGAGTGCCTACAAACCCCTCCTTCCACTATCTACTGCACTGCCTTCTTCCTGCCATTGAATTCTACCCTTCCTATTCACTGGATCATCTAACTTCCTACTCTAGAAGCAGAAAGAGGAAGGGAGGATTTGAAGGAGGGAATTTCTGTTTTCTCAGAGACTTGGCACATTATTATGGCTGTGAGCAGTCACTAGGACATCTGGGAAATTTGGTTTCAGCATGAAGATCAGCAGCAGAACTACAGGGAAAACTGTATTTCCTAGTTTTGTTTCAACTTGCTTCAGTTAGTACTCTGTGGGAATGACAAAAAGTCTGTTCCATTCTATCCCTCCATTCCACTAGACATCTACACATGCAGGGGAAAAAATGGGCAAATGAGGGGGAAAGTAGGAGCCTTGACCATAGATGAGTGATAGGAAGAAAGAACTTAAAATTAATATCCAAGTTAGATCAGAACTTTCAGGGCTATAAGTTATATTTTATAAATTGCAACCTACAACTTAGATATAAGTTGTAGGTTACACTTTATAAAATGTGTTACCCAGAATATTGGGAAAAAACAAGCTTATTCTTATATAAGTAGAAAGGCAGAATAAATTCAATAAATAATATTGCTGAACACATAGAATTACATGAAATTTCCTGAACCCACAAGTGAGTTTGTATAACACAGTTGTTCGGATTGCTGTAGAAAAACCTTCCTTAACCTGGTGTGGGCCAAATGTGACATCCTGTTACTCCTATGACCTTGAATTAGCACAGCCATTGCAGAATACAGATTCTGGAGCACTGCTACTCCATATTTTGAATATTTCTAATCAGAGCTGGAATACAATCCAGTGAATCAGTCACCATATGTAATGGTATGTGGGAAAGACCTTGGGAGACTGGGCAAAGAGACGCTGCCAAGGGAACAGTCAGATAAGAGACAGCATAGCCTGCAGCTGGATAGTGGGCAGGGCAAGAGGCCCAGAAGAGATGCTCCCTAGTTTCTTGGGGTGTAAAAGAGACAGGGGAAAATTGTACTTTCAGACTTGCAAGTTTCTGTCAATGTAGCTTCACAATAAAGTAGAATTAGCTCATCTGGTTGTGATTCCTATCTGGTTTACTCTCCAAGGCCGACACCATAAAAAGTTCACACAGGTACCTAAGAGAACATCTGCTAAAGAAAACCAAATAGCCAATATCCACATACATGAAAACATCACAGAGGATGTTGCATTTTGCCTTCTAAGGGTACCCATCTATTTGGGTCCTCCACATACCTAGAGCTGCCTGGATGACAATATAAAAGCTCTAAGCATTAAAATTAGGCCAGCACTGACCTTTTTGGTGGACTGAGGAGAGAACGAGATGAGCTGGCATTGTTCCATCTTGAGAGAATGGGCATTTCTGAAAAGTGATGCAGGGATCTAGAGCAGGAGAAGGCAGGAATGAAATTTGTTTACACTTGAAGCCCTTTGGGATGTCATTATAATTTCTTTCTAGACTAAGCAATTGCATCTTTATTTCAGTTTGAAATGTTATTTTGTAAGAGCTGTTCCATAGCAAAGCATGTAACAGCACTGTGCAAACACATTTCTTCTCAGGAACAGTACGTTACAGTAGGTGTTAGAATGTAGGTGTTAGGTACCGGTAAACGCTAATTATAAAGGTGGCAGCGCTTCTTTGCTTCTGACAGATGGCTTATATTTGGGATCCTTTGGGGAGAAGACTTTCTTTAACCACCTACCATTTAGAAAGTTATGATTGTTTGTCATAAGGCTTTAGGCAGAACACGTAGGAACAATATTGGACATCATTTGTTGTATTTCCGGACATTATCATTTAAGGACAAAAGGGTTGTGCTGAGAAGTTATAAAAGAGTCTCTGTCCCCTTTACCTTTAAACTCACAGACAGGCCTCAGTCACCCAACTTGTTCTTAAGCACCATGTTGGAAAAGCCCCTTCAGTTTCTCAGTCTGGGAGTTGGGATGGAAGGAAGTCCCACATGTATGTTTATTTATTTATTTATATATTTATTTGTTTGTGGAGTATATTGCCAAGGAAGAATCAGCAACATAACACCCATTAGAGCTCTAAGAGGTGCCTGCTACAAAACTACAGCAGAGCTGTGCCAATTAACTGAAGAACACTGAATTATCTTCCAAACCCACGCTGTGAACAAGTTCCACAATTAAACAAAAGGTCATCTGGACAACATCTGTCTAAATGAAGTAGCCAGCTCTGACTCCTACTACTGGGTGAGTGAAGAAAACGCCGTGAAGCAAACCCTAACCTGGCAACTGTAACTACTGTTATTCTTAAACAGTGTCTGGAAAAATATTTGCTGCCTCAACATGCCACATTTCTGAACATACAATCCTATCAAAAAATTAAAAATAGGCAAGATTTTGTTGCATAAGACTGCACATGAGAAAACTAATACCTCATTAGTTGTGCAAAAAAGCAAGTTTTCAGTAATTTTGGAAAGGGTGCATAAGCTACTACTCTTTGTGCCACCAGTCCTGTAGTGGGAACATTTATGTGTGAGCACATGTTAGTGTAAGCGCACAGAGAGCAGAGCAAAAGTTGTGGAAATGGCTACCAGCTGTGTATAATCACAAATATGTGACTATTTCTCCATGCAATTATTGTGCAGTAGCTCCTTAAGTGCAGAAAAATGTTATTGTGAGAGCCATACCTAGACTTACCATATCGTGTTAATGAGCTTCTGGATATGCATCAAAGAGGGCAGTAATCACTTAACCTTCTTGTTACTTGCTTGCATTAGCATCAAATATTAGCCCATATTTTAGCAAGAATACTTTACATTTACACCCACATACAACTCTGGCTAATTATACACATAGCACATTATATATATATATATATATATACACACTTAATACTAGGAAATCTTAAATTTCATCACTATGCTAGCAGATATTCTTTCTGCCATTCCCCCATGAGCTTTTTTTCATAATTAACTGCACTTCCTTTTTGGAATTTTGAAAATAGAACTGTCTACCTCCTATTAGACATTTGAACATAGTGTGTAAACCTACCGCATGTAGTTTTGCACAGTCATTTGTACCATGCTCAAAGGAGGTGAAAGAGCTGCAAAAAATGTATTTCATTTTTTATTTTTTATTCCATCCAACATTCAAAAGTACAGATAAGCCAGACAATGTTAAATAAAGTTGGAATGTGGTGGGATAATATTTTGGGAAAGGAGACTCAGTTGCAGAAAGAGCAATTTATTCAAAGACTGAAACAATTGGAGAACTTGGAAATTCATTTTCCTGTGATAATCTTTTTGAGTTGCAAAAAATCTTATCCTATGTAAATAAATAGATACTAATAGTATTGCCCAGCATTTTATCCAATTATTTTTAGAGCAGGAAATAGAGCTTCACCAAATATTTGTGAGGGTCAAAAGCCAAGCTGGTGCCTACTTTGAAGGGTGACAATCAGCTTGTGTGACAGATGCTGGGGAAAATAGGAGCAGATCTACATTCTTTCCTCATGAGTCTCTTTCCTGGATATTTCGTCAAAACAGAGCCCTGGGTGCCACACAGCTTTTATTGTGCCCTCTAAACCAGTCTACTGCCCTCTAACATGCTCATGGAGAACTCTAGCCTTTTGCTACTGCTGAGGTAAAATTCAACTGCTACTTCAGGTGACATCTGGCTATATTTTTCTCTTGGGATGAAAAATGACTAGGCTTATCCTGGCTGACAGAAATCATCCTTAATGGTGGAAAAGTTATTTCTAAAGTAAGCACCTCAAAGTGTGGCCTTGCTGCCAAGGTCATACTTTGGACAGAGAACTTACTCCATAGTTTTCCCACTAGTTCTCATTCAATTTGATGAACGTGAAATTGCTTTTGAAGTTCTGTTGGCGGAATGTTTTGTTTTTTGTGCTTTTTTTAGTTATAAGGTGGCAACAGAGACATCTGCAGCGAGCCACAAGGTTGTAAAAATGATACAATATGCATAAAATGTCATGATGCAAGTTTCCCCCATTTGTTCTTGTATTGCAATGTCACACACAAGTATGTAAGGGGCTAGATTTGCATCACACCATTGTAATGCATGTTTCATCACTTCCTCCCTTTTAAAGACATATGTGTACAGAATGTTCTATCTTTCATTCTAGAATAACCTCACAAATAATCTGGCTTCTGATGCTTCCCTTCAATTCAAAGGAAGTGGCCTTGAGAGAACTCCTCCCATAGGCCCCTTTAAATTATACTGTAGTGCTAATCACTACTAAGGGAAAGAATAAGAGGAAGTCTGTTCTTCAAACTATTGAGGAGAATTTCGCCTTCTCTTGGTTTTGAGGTCTGTCTGGTTACTGGAGCATTGTTAAGCCTATTTGGGAGGTTGTGTTCCAACTCTTCTTTTACCTGCCTCAAAACGACCAGGAGAAAAAGTCCACCAAGCAACTGCTCAGATGTTGCTCAGAAGCCCATCCTTTCTCTAAAGTAATGTACAGCAAAATCTACATCTGTTTCCTTCTTCTTGGGAAAGTACTTGATGGAAGGGAAAAATCCTACCACAGAAATTTCTGAGAAACACAGATGCTAACTGTGAACTATGTAATATAATCAAATGTGAACTGATACTAGACCAAATGGCTTCAGTGCCGCTCTCCTTGGTATGAAGAAGTTGACTTTACAAACAAGAATCATACAGCTCAAATGTGACTGTACTCCATCTTGCTATGGTATGCAAAATATTATTATGTAAAATTAACTTATTACAAAGAAGTCCAACTAGCAATTTTCAATTACTTAACACATTTTCACTGCAGTCATGGCCATCTGAAGGTTATCATTTGAAGTATAAAACGGTGTTTTAAATTAGTATCAAATTTCAAGAATCAAATAACATGTATTGTCGAAGGCTTTCACGGCCGGCATACGATGGCTGGTGTGGGTCTTCCGGGCTGTGTGGCCGTGGTCTTGAAGTTTTGTTTCCT